CTCTCTCTCTCTCTCTCTCTCCCTCCCTCTCTCTCTCTCTCTTTCTCTCTATCTATCTCTATCTATCTATCTATCTATCTCTCTCTCTTTCTTTCTCTCTCTCTCAGACTCACTATCTCTCTCGCTATCTCTCTCTATCTATTTCTATCTCTATCTCCTCCCTCACTCTCTCTCTCTTTCTATCTCTCTCTCTCTATCTATCTATATATTTCTCTTTCTTTCTCTCTTATACACACACAAACACTGTCTCATTCTCTTTCTTTTACTCGCGCGTCTATAATCGTCACTCCTGTCTCCCTCTGTCATTATTATCTTCACGTAACATACTAAAGAACAACCGAGCGGTCATTCCGCGGATGTAAAAGAAGCCAACACACACACAAACACCACTACGACGATATAGCTGGACACTTTCCAACGCCGCCATCTTGTTCCACTAGGCGCTTTCGCATGTTCTTAAATTTCAGTTTGGAGGATGGGGAGGGGAAAGCGGGATACCCTAGGGTCTGCTGCCCAGAAACAGCAATGTTTGTCTCCAGAGCATTCATTATTATTTTTTCCATGATAAAGGAAGAAATTAAAACGTTATTCAGCGACAACACAGCCCCCCCCCCCCTCAAAAAAAAAGAAGAAGACCCAGTCTCTTTCTCCAACGTTTTACTATTTCCAGCGATGAGAAAATGATCTCTCTAGAGCGTATACAATTGGCGTCATAAGATATATAGGCTTATAAAAACGTTTAGATGTTTTCGTAGGAGTTTTACGCCACTTGCAACATAATAAGATCATATAAGTGCCAAAGAATAGATGTGTTACAAGAGAGTAACATACACAAAATAGAAGGAGGAGAGATAAGGACGATAGATGTTAGATTGGAAAAAAGGAGCAAACAATACCAGAGCACCCACCAACCACCCACTTTTAAACGTTTACCATTTCCTTTTCTATTTTATTTCAAATTTATAATAAATCGTTTGACAACCTGGGGGGGGGGGGGTATATAGTAAGCGCCAAAGGAAGAAATACACTAACATCAAGATTAACTAGCATAATATCTTTTCCAACATTACAGCATCACCATCATTACCGCCATTATCATCATGATAATATCATCATCATCATCATCATCATCATAATCATCATCATCATCATCATCATCATCATCATCATCATCATCATCATCATCATTATCATCATCATCATCACATCCCTTTTTGGTGTTTTGTTTTTCTTGAAGCATAACAACGTGTGCCATGTTGGCACATTTTTATACAAGTAACTTACAAACATCGGCACCAAAATCGGTACTCGAAACAAAAAAAAGGTCATCGGCCAGCTATTTAAATGTACTATGCTCCAAAAGGTTTAATTGTTGTTGTTTTTTACTGCGGAGCTTTCATCTGTGGTACTGGTTGCCTGTGCACTTCACTTTTGTTAGATAGGCTACATACAATATATTGTGTAGAGTCTCCAGTGCCGAAAGAAAATTTAATTATTTACCATGAATGAAACATTCGACATTCAGGTCACTCATTGTTAACTTTAGAGGCTATCGTGGTCGAGAGGTTACTGTGTTCACCTCTCCTTCAATAGGTCTCGGGTTGGAATCCGGATACGACAAAAACATTTTCTTCTCTAAAATTGTCAACATTTCACATACTTTCCTGGTGTCTCAAATAATGTTCTGTTGTCTGCTTTCGTCTCCACTTGCTGCCCCAACCCCTTCTTCTAATTTGCCTCCTCCTCCTCTGGGCTCCTTGGTCCTTCTGCAGACTTTCTACTGCTGCTCCTTGGCTTCTTCTTACTGCTGTCTTTTAGCCACACCCCTGATATTATGGTAGGTAAGATCTAATACTTAACCTTCTCGGATCAGGGCTAAAAATCTCGGAAGTCCTGTGAACACATTGTGATCGTAAAATATTCCTTGGTGGTCCAAAATCAATATGAGTAGGCTTCGGCGGCCACCCAGGCAAAATTCGAAATTAATTCCTACCAAAACTTTAAAAGTGTCTAATGTGTCCCGCACGCTTATGTGATCTTATGCAGTTGCGAGCTCCGTAAAACACTTACAAAAAAGTGTTTTCTTTTGTGTATTCTGAAAGGATATTACCATCATAAATCAAGACTGTATAATAATAAACAATAATGAGCAGTATTTGTATAGCACATATCCCCTCTCGACCGCAAGCTCTATCTCTTTTTTTTAATTCATCTTCCAGGTTACCAGACGAGCCAGTGTGATATGGCTGCTACTCTGGATTCTCCGTACGGCGCAAACAACTGTAGTCCGGTGTGAAGAAAGCTAAGATGCTGTGGTCTGCTGTCAACGTAGAACACTGGCAGGATACCGCTAGAACATTCCGATTTTTCTTGGGTACTACTTGCACTCCAGATGTACTGACTCCGTATTCCAGAGAAGGCCCGTCCCAATCTCCAGAGGCATCACTTCGTTGAAAGAAGATTAAAACTTCTACTGGTTTCTATTGCTGGATAGTGTGCGAGGAGTCAGAGCAGCAACGAAACTATTACTATTCTGTCAGTTTTTTATAGTATTTGTACACATTCACTGACCCTGACGTTTCTGTCTGACTGATCTGAGATCAGCTATGGCACTTATATGACCTTATTGTGTTGCAAGTGCCGTAAAACTCTTACTAAAACTAAGATCAGCTGTATGCCTCGAATAAGAGAGCTCAGCCGAATCGTGAGAATTTACGGTGGACTTTATAAGTGACACCTCTTTAGAGGGAGATAGATGTCCTACGAGCAGAAGTCATGGGTGGACAATGCGGTCGATGCGTTGTCGACAACATCCGAGAAGAGCTGTGGTCATACTTCGCCCTCTCCGGCATTCTGCTGCTTCAGGGGGGCATCGTCCTACTTGTGTACGCCCTCAAGCGCGCAACGCTCCACCCAGAGGTTGTGAAAGCCCTGGGTATTTTCCTCATCGTTATGGGCATTTTGGCCACTCTAATCTCCTGGTACGCCCACAGACAGCACAGGAGGAAGGAGAAGCTGAGGTGGCGGGATCTGTATCGGTCTTGTTGTGTGCCCCGAGTGAGGAACGCCAGCTCCCAAGAGGTGTTGGTGGAACGACGGGGGATTCAGGCGGATGACGCTACTGCTGCTCCAAAGTACTCTACTCCTGAATTCCAAGTAAGGCTAGTCGAGTGTAATAATATGGTTACAGAAATATTGTGAGAAAGAGGCAAGAGAGTGGGATAGGAGATGAGGAGAGGAGAATATGGAAGATATACATAAATATTATATATGATATATACATATATGATATATATATTATATATAATAT